CACTTAATCAAACTAATTTAGCTGGCAACTAGAAATAAATTCATCTAACCCAACAAAATTAATATTCCATATTTCTTTTTGCAATATGCTTTCCAGACAAGAGATGCTGTTTCATTGATGTATTTCTTGAACTCTAATCGGTGCCATTTGTAATAATATTTCCTGTCTGGTGACCTGAGGAAGCCACAAGCAATAAGAACAGATGGATGCAGCTTTGTGTACATATCTCTATTAAACTGAATCATTGCAGGGTTAAAGTAGGACATAATTTTTTACACTTGAAACTCAGTTGGGGTTGAATCCAATCCCATAAAGTAGGAAGTAAATATTTGCTAAGTGTTTTAAATGGTTTCCATTGGTTAAAAAGCCCTAGAGTGTTTTCTAGTTTTCTTCTCTGTAGAACACTGTCACAGATAGGCAATTCAATCATGGTTACTACTGAAAACATAGAGAGTTCAGTATTCACTGGGAGTTACCTTGATCACAAAGTTTTTGATCGCTGTTCTTTGGTCTACATAAGAGAAAACCAAGGCTCAATTGGCATGTGACTCCAAAACAAAGGTCTGGTCTGCATCAAAATCATAGTCATGATTTATGTAAGATACCATTGTATAAAAACTTGAGGGGGCAAGGAGAGGAAACCCCTGATGGAAAGATGCCCCCATCGTTAGTAAACTAGCTTAGGGTATGTCTACACTACCCCGCTAGTTCGAACTAGCGGGGTAATTTAGGCATACCGCACTTGCAAATGAAGCCCGGGATTTGAATTTCCCGGGCTTCATTTGCAAGTGCGGTATGCCTACATTACCCCACTAGTTCGAACTAGCGGGGTAATTTAGGCATACCGCACTTGCAAATGAAGCCCGGGATTTGAATTTCCCGGGCTTCATTTGCAAGTGCGGTATGCCTACATTACCCCACTAGTTCGAACTAGCGGGGTAATTTAGGCATACCGCACTTGCAAATGAAGCCCGGGATTTGAATTTCCCGGGCTTCATTTGCAAGTGCGGTATGCCTACATTACCCCACTAGTTCGAACTAGCGGGGTAATTTAGGCATACCGCACTTGCAAATGAAGCCCGGGATTTGAATTTCCCGGGCTTCATTTGCAAGTGCGGTATGCCTACATTACCCCACTAGTTCGAACTAGCGGGGTAGTGTAGACATACCCTTAGTAGTTGGAGTAGTCTGTAACACCCCATCTTGGCTCACGTGCACTAGCTGGCCTGTTCAGGAGGGGGCAGATCCAAAGCTCCAGCCATTTCTCACCCCTGCCCACCTACCTGTGTGGAAAGAAGAGCCCCGTAACTGTTTTTTCTTTCCCCATGCATGCTGGGTGACATGGGATTTATGCTCTGAATTGAGGTGGTACTTTGCCTTCCCTGAGTGAATACATAAGCAGGCTCATGATTTAGCCCCTCTCCCTCTAACACCCATAGTTTGAATCCCTATTTCAAGCTTTTATTTAAAAATAATATTTTTCCTTACAGCAATAAGGCACAAAAGGTTCCCACCACTGAAACATTATCTAATGCTTGAAAGTGTCTTTTGCAATTTCTGAAACCTCTCCTGTGTCACACCTCACACTCCAGTGTGTATTTCTAGGCTCACTGCTCCACAGTAAGGTAGTTGAAAGTACTTTGCTTCAGGCCTTCTTCGATGCAACACACCCTGGGCTTACCCATCAGCTCACTAATGTACACTGAGGTATAGCGTATTGATTAAACTGCCTCTCAGGAACCTTGCTGCTCACTGTAGCTTATCAAATAAACATGTCATGTTAGCAAAAGGACACAAAATACTGAGCTGAAACAAGCCATTGATTCTTTTATAGTTGAACAAATGCTATTATGCTGAAACAAGTCATCTTTAGACAATAACAAGCTGGGACAGTTATATGTTGTCTGCTTGCTGAAAAAATGGGAACATATTATACAGAATCAATCCTAAGCCATGCATCAGTCCCTTCACATTGCTCCTGCTAAACACATTGCCCAAAAGGGGATGGATCCAGTGAAGGGGGAGTTTCCAACAAGCTCAGAGCTAATATTGCGGGCCCCTGAACCACTTTTGTGCAGCCTCCAGGTTCAGAGGGATGTTAGGATCATTTCCTGCGAACAGTAGGACACAGAGAGCATGCAGCACTCCATTAACCTACAATTGGCTGACAGCCCCTTGGGCCATAGCCAGCTGGGTATAGTTTAAGGAAGACAATTCATTTTCCCCAGCTCAGCTGTCCCCAATGGACACTGGACACTGTCAATTGTACATGCTATTCATCATCATGGTATCTGAATGCTTTGTAATACAAATGATCACCATCACCTCCATATTTCTCTCTTTGTGAATTGAAAAGCCATATTTCTTAAAGACAGCTGGGAGAAAATTTTAGGTCAGCAGTTTTTCAAAGAAAAATGCAGATTCAGCAACACTGAAATGCTTTGCAAATTCATATTATTTTTGCCAAATTTTTGTTGGGGGAGAAGATTAAAAATTCTGAAAAAGATTAAAAACGTTTCATTCTAATATTTTACACACAAAAAACTTGATTTTTTTTGGTATGAAACAACTCTTTGTTCAAAAATCTCATCTAGTTTCATTTGTTTCAAATTCAAAACGATTTAAAAAACTGTTGAGATTGGAATACAATATTTCTGACTGAAAAAACAAAATTGTTCACTGAATCCAAAATGATTTTTGTTTTTACCTTTTCTTTTACCTAACATTCCTAAAATGATTGGTTCAATTTGAAATATTTTGATATTTTGAAATTGCCAAAGCACTGAAAAATCCCTTATTTGCACAGCTTTATTCACAGATGAACTTAATATCATCATAAGCAAAAACATACATAAATCATTTCAATAGAACTAGTAGAATTTTCTTTTTAATCCAAAACTATTTACTACTTAGATGTCTAAAATAAACCATCATCACAGAATGCCACCTCTAAAACTTTCTTACAACTAGACAGGGCATCCCTGAATATAACCAGGAATACATTGTGTCATTTACTAAAATGTGATA